TTGGATAACACTGTCTCCTGGGGTCCGAGAACACTTTCTCCTACCTTTGTCCCTCCAGCTGAGGGAATGAGAGTGGTTTCCTCCATTGTCCTCACTGTCCCCTGTTTGCCTCTCAGCTTCTCCAACACCTGTTATAACTAGTGCCCTGAATTCAATTCCTTCTGCTATAAATACTTGAAATGGGATCTGTTTTTCAGGTTGGACTCTAACTGATACACGATTAATGCTTCCTTTTGTTAAATTCTTTAGTTTTTCCTTTTTTCTATAGTCCCTCCCTCTTTTTTTCTTATTAATTCTTAAGAGTTCTTTACATATTTTAAATACTAATCCTTTCTTGATTGTATCTATTGGAAATCTCTTCTCTCAGTTTATGGTTTGTCTTTTCACACTTTATGATGATTTTGATGAGCAGTTCTTACAGTTAATGAAGCAGTCTACTTTAAAAATATATTTTCTTCTTGGTTTGGGCCTTTTGCATCTTATTTTAAGAAATCATTTCCTAAACTTCTCAATTCAAATTTTTCTTAGTTTAACCTCCCACGTTTAAATCTATTAGATACATTGAACTAATTTTAGTGTAAAATATGACGTGAGTTCAACTCTCATGTTTTCTCATATTGATAACCAATTATGCCAGTACCATTTTTATTGAAATCTTCCCTTTTCCTCAATTTTCTTATATTTTTATATACTGATAGTATTTATTTCTGCACCCTCTATTCTGTCTCATTTTTATATTATTTATCCTTGAATTAATACTATGGTATCTTTATTACACTATACTATATTATTAATGTGCTATCATAAATTATATGTTAAAGCTTTATAAGAATTTTTTTATCTGGTGAACTAAGTCCCCTTACCTTGTTCTTTTATAATTATGTCTTGGCTATTCTTGACACTTTTAGTCTTCCATATAAATTTAAAATCAGCTTATCAAGTTCCACTAAAACCCACTTGAATGTAGATTAAAATTACATTGAATTTGTAGACTAACTGTAGGAGTGGGGAGAACTGACATCTTTGTGGTATTTAGCCTTCCAATTCATGAACATGGTCTATTTCACAATTTATTTAAGTCTTTAATGTCTTTCTGTAAAGTGTTAATATTTTCTTTTGAAAATCTTATACATCTTTTCTTAGATTTTCTTCTAGGTACTTTTTAATGTTATCATAAATGTATCTTTCTATTTGACTGCATGATTTAACTGGTTGTTACTGGTGTATTAAAACACAAAAAACTTGAAGGGAGTCAAAAGGTATAAGCTCCCAGTTATAAAAGAAATAAATCATGGGGATGCAATGTACAGCATGGCAGCTATAGTTAATAATACTGTATTGCATATTTGTAAGTTGCTAAGAGAATAAGTCTTAAAAGTTCTCGTCATGAGAAAAAAAGTTCTCTAACTATGTGTGGTGACAGATGTTAACCAGACTTAAAGTGGTGATCATTTTCCAACGTATACAAATATCCAATCATTATGTTGTACACCTAAAATTAATATAATGTTGCATGTCAGTTACACTTCAAAAAATATGAAAGATTTTCGTACACTGATTTTCCATCTACCAACCTTGCTAAATTCTCTTACTTGATTCGAATAACTCAGTTAGATTGGTTTCTCTACATGGATGTTGCCAACAGATATAAATTGTATCAAACCTTTTTTCTGTTCCTTTTGAGGTAATCAATACAGTGCCCTTTAGTCTGCTTTTTTACCAATCTTATATTCCAGGTAAGTTGAGAGAAGACAGGCAAAAGGCATGATTGCCAAGCTCTCTTGGTATAATCTGAGAGACTGAAGTGTCATAGGGAAGCCCTGCTTTCAACATCATGCTTAAGCAGGAGCTTAGCAATCATTAAGGGAAGTGTCTAAGTCCAACAGACCTGAGGACAAACACACAGAATCTTACACAACCAACCCCTCAAGGAGGAGGAAGTCAGCCGAGAGATCGTCCCTCCAAAAGCCTTGCAAAGGCTACGGCTGGAAGAAACTTGGAATCCGGGGCGATGGGTCTGGTGTGTAGGCTCAGCCTGGAGAGCATTGTGGAACTGAAGACATCAGCAGTAAATAGGAGAACATGATGCCCCCAAGCAGAGCAAGACCAGACACACTGAGTGAGGCCAGCAGAGCAGATGATGGACAGGCAGGGTGTAGGGTTACCCGCACCACCCGAAGTCAGCTTTAGTTACAGACAAATGTATGGACTGTTGTAACTTCCAATTTATATGTGCTAGTTTACTGATTAAACAACACATTATAAGTAAGTAAGAAATGATATTTATTGGCAATTAACTACTGACTGGAAGAGTTGTTTTTGTTATTTGCTGTCAAAGAACAGATATCATAAAGTTATTACTATAATTAAGGTTCATTTGAAGTTTGAATAAAGCATGTCTTCTGTAAATCTCTTCTACAATTAAAGTTGGCAAAGCTACCCATAGGCTAATACCTTTCTAATTATTCTAATAATAACACTATTATTAGATCTTAACTGTGTCATTATCAGAATACAGCTGACTTTTTAACAATGTGGGGGGTGGGGGCACCAAACCTCTGTGCAGCTGAAAAGTGGTGTGTAACTTTACAGTTGGCCCTCTATATCCCTGGTCCCTCACCCCCAGATCCAACTAACTAAATCATGTGGTACTGTAATACGTATTTACTGGGAAAATCCATGTATAAGTGCGCCAGCGCAGTTCAAACTTGTGTCGTTCAAGGATCAACTGTAGTCTTAAAAGTGAATTGCTGAGGGATTAAGATGGTGGAGTAGAAGGACCTTGAGCACACCTCCTCTCACGAACACAACAAAATCACAACTAACTGCTGAACAACCATCAATATAAAGACTGGAACCTACCAAAAAAAAGATCTTCTACATCTAAAGACATAAAGAAGAAACCACAATGCGACAGCTGACATCTTGCTTGGGTCATTGGCACCAAGATCGTGCCCCACCCAGCAGCCTGTAGGATCCAGTGCTAGGACACCTCAGGCCAAAGAACTAACTGGGGGTGGGGGGCAGTCATTTGCAGTCACATGGATGGATCCAGAGACTATCATACTAAGTGAAGTAAGTCAGACAGAGAAAGACAAATACTATCTATCACTTAGATATGGAATCTAAAAAATAATACAAATGAACTTATTTACACAACAGAAACAGATCCACTGACATAGAAAACAAACTTGTGGTTACCAAAGGGGAAAGTGTGGGAGGAGGGTGATAAAGTAGGAGTTGGGAATTAACAGACATATGTTACTATATATAAAATAGATAAACAATAAGAGTTCTACTGTAGGGCACAAGGAAATATATTCAGTATCTTATAATAACCTATAATGGAAAATAATCTGAAAATATATATATATATAACTGAATCACTCTGCTGTACACCTAAAACTAACACAATATTGTAAATCAATTATACTTCAATTTTAAAAAATGAATTGCCCATTCAAAAAACAAACAAACAAAGAAAAGAAAAATGAAAAATCTACATGGACGAACACCTTGATTTCAAAATTATGGCTGCCCTCTCCTGAAAAGCACCTTAACTGGAATTTCCCACTGTCATTAGGATCTACTGGGATTCACCCACAGCTTTTAAAGCAGACTGGTTAGTGTTTTTGTAGAATAACTGGTATAATTGTTTCAAGACAAACTACCTGGCAAGAGTAAGGAAAAGATACAAAAGCTAGACAACACATTAAGAACTTTAAAAAATCCAAACTAAATAAACATGCCTATGTGTAATTAAAATCTTTGTCAATCCCCACAAAAATACTGTAGCTGAATTCTTTTCCTTTTCTTTAGAATGCCAAAATTCATATTCAATCCAAATGTAAAAGGCAAATAAGGGTTAAGATTTTAAAAATTCCCTCCCAACACTTACCCCTTCACTCCCTCTTACTCTCCAACGATAAATCATTTCTTGGGTATCTTTCTAAACATATTTTGTGTATACCCAAAGAAACATACATTATATACATATATATTATGTGTACACCCCTCATGCCTAGTGTTTTGCATTTAACAATACATTTTGGAGATCAGTTGATATTAACAAATAAAATCTTCCTCTTTTTTTTTTAGTGTGGTATAGTAGAACATTTCATGGTTCATTGTATGTGCCACAATTTATTTTTAGTTTAGTGAGGTTTCTTCCCCTGGTATGAAATGCTAAAAGATAGAGACTTAAAAAAAAAAAAAACCTGTGATCATAATGTAATACTATTATCACACTTAAGAAATTAACAATAAGTTCTCAATATCATTACACATCTAACCGATATTTGAATTAAAAGATTTGTCAATTTTTAAAGCTTTTGACAATTTGCATTACAATCAAAATAAGATCAATAAATTGCAATTGACTGACATATTTTTAAAGCCCCTTTTAATCTGTAGGTTTTCCCTCTTTTCTTTGTTTCCTTTGCATTTTAGTGTAGTTTAAATGCTCCTCTGCTCTATTTTCTATACCTTAGCAGTTGGATCTAGGGGCTTAATTAGATTTCTGCCTCAGTGTGTGCGTGCGGGTGTTATTTTATTATTAAGAACGCCATGTGGATTATCCTCCTTTTTGTAATCTCAGCCATAGTATCTTTTTTAATGGAGAACTGGTATCTAATTTTGAAACAAAATATCCCCTCTTCCAGGAAGAGGTGGCGGTTCAGACCACTTCTGTCCTAGACGTAAGGTTGGGCAATCATCTTGTAACAGAAATGATCACACTAGAATAAATCAGGCTAAACAATCAATTCCTCATCATTTTTCAATGTCAACAACAGTGGTTTTTTTTTCATAATTAGCTTTTAATCACCACACCCCCGCATATTTCCCTGAGGTATTAGTTCCAAGAGGCAGCCAAAAATGGCTCAGTGAGCCGTTTGCTTTTCAAAATTAAACAAAACCTGGGCGAGCTGCTATTTATTAACGACCAAGGATTCTCGTGACCGAGCTCCAGCCTTCCCCGAGGCGCTAAAGCGCAGTCTTACTTAACTTGAGACCTTTCCTTCCTTTTTCTCTTTTTCCGGAGCTCCGGCGCCGGCACCGGGCAGGATAGGCCGCAGAGAGCCGGGACTCGCAGCAACTCTGCACGCCAGCCGGTCGCCGAGTC